GTCCAGGGTAGGGGAGGGAATGGCCGGCAGGGATGTAGCTCAGTTGATAGAGCATGGCGTTTGCAACGCCAGGGTTGTGGGTTTGATTCCCACAGGGGGCCAGTATAAAAAAATATGTATTCACTAACTGTAAGTCGCTCTGGATAAGAGCGTCTGCTAAATGACTAAAATGTAAATGTAAATGTAAGTTGGTTGTTGATCATTGCTAGACAGCCATTTTCAAGTCTTAGTCATAGATTTTATTAGCCAATTTAAGTCAAAACTGTAACTAGGCCACTCAGGAACATTCAATGTTGTCTTGGTAAGCAAGTCCAGTGTATATTTGGCCTTGTGTTTTAGGTTATTGTCCTGCTGAAATGTGAATTTGTCTCCCAGTGTCTGTTGGAAAGCTGTCTGACCCAAGTTTTCCTGTAGGTTGTTCCCTGTGCTTAGCTCTATTCCGTTTATTTTTATCCACAAAAATAACTCCCTAGTCCTTGCCGATGACAAGCATACCCATAACATGATGCAGCCACCACCATGCTTGAAAATATGAAGTGGTACTCAGTGATGTGTTGTGTTGATTTGCCCCAAACATAACTCTTTGTATTCAGGACATTTTTTGCTGTTTTACTTTAGTGCCTTATTGCAAACAGGATGCATGTTTTGGAATATTTTGTACAGGCTTCCTTCTTTTCACTATGTCATTTAGGTTAGTATTGTGAACTAACTACAATGTTGTTGATCCATCCTCAGTTTTCTCCTAACACAGCCATGAAACTCTATAACTGTTTTTTAAAGTCACCATTGGCCTCATGGTGAAATCCCTGGCAACTGAGTTAGGAAGGACGCCTGTATCTTTGTAGTGACTGGGTGTATTGATACACCATCCAAAGTGTAATGAATAACTTCACCATGCTCAAACAGATATTCAATGTCTGCTTTTTTTTTTTTTACCCATCTACCAATAGGTGTCCTTCTTTGCGAGGCATTGGAAAACCTCCCTGGTCTTTGTGGTCGAATCTGTTTTGAAATTCAATGCTCGACTGAGGGACCTTACAGATAATTGTATGGGGTACAGAGATGAGGTAGTCATTCGAAAATAATGTTAAACACTCATTGCACACAGTTTATTATGTGACTGGTTTAGCAGATTTGTACTCCTGAACTTTAGGCTTGCCATATCAAAGGGGTTGAATACTTATTGACTGAAGACATTTCAGCTTTTCATTTTTACTTAATTTGTAAACATTTCTAAAAACATATTTCCACTTTGACATTATGGGGTATTGTGTGTAGGCCAGTGACACATAATCTCAAATTAATCAATTTTAAATTCAGGCTGTAACAAAATATGGGAAAAGTCAAGGGGTGTGAATACTTTCTAAAAGCACTGTATGTGTATTTGTTTGTGCTGGCAAAGGAGACAAACTCTACCTTCTGTCTTTGACCCCTCTTCCCCTCCATTTCCAGTTACCTAGACAAGGCTGACTGGTTCCTCAAAGCTGATGATGACACCTATGTGATCGTGGAAAACCTGCGTCTGCTCCTGTCTCGGTTCAGCCCAAACAGGCCTGTGTATCTGGGCAGACGTTTTCGCCGCTTTGTCCATCAAGGCTACATGAGTGGTGGTGCTGGCTATGTACTGAGCCGCGAGTCTGTGAGCCGCTACGTCAGAGCCCTGCACCACGGGACCTGCACCCAGTCCACCTCTGCAGAGGACCTACAGCTGGGTTTCTGCCTCCAGAAGCTGGGAGTCCCGGCAGGGGACTCTAGAGACCACCAACACAGGGAAACCTTCCACCGCCTGTGGCTGGGTAACCTTCTCTGTCCCAAAGACATACTGCCCAAATGGTTCTACCAGTACAACTATTACCCTTCCAAAGTGGTAAGTAGGTCTACACTCTCAGTAGAACACATAGCAAATTACCTCCCTTCAGTGCCATTGAGCTTCCTGCTCATCAGTTTTTTTTCCTTTCTTTCTCCCTCTCTCTCTGTCAGGGTCCAGACTGCTGCTCCAATTCATCTGTATCCTTCCATTACGTTCGGCCAGTCAGAATGTACATGCTAGATTACTTCCTGTACCATCTCAGTCCAGTGGGTGGCCACAGCCCAAAGCTGGGTGAGACCAGAGAGGAATAAGCAGAGACTCCTTTCTGTGGATTTGACAGTGACATCCCTGATAATAAATAATAATATACATGCTCGCACCCTAATTAATGATGTCATTCTCTTGCAAAGAGAGTTGTCTTGCAAACATTAAAACCAATATTGTTACTAAGGTCTTTGATAAGGTCCATGCTAGTTCCAACCAATTCATCATGATCTAGTCTGGATATTTGCCTAGTTAGAGCATGTATTCATACATTTGAGTCTGTCATCATGACACTAATGGGCTTTGGTTTGTTGGTTAAAGTCATAGAGATCCTATTAAATACTATTCTAATTCCTAATTATATGGTTAAAATACTGTCCTCCAGTGAGCATTAGCTGAATTAGCCCATTAGCTGTCCTACATTAGCTGAGGTTCCAAATTAGGTTATTTTTATTTAATTTTTTACCTCAACAGGACAGTTTGTAGTTTGAACTGTATAAGAGGCCCTTTGGAGCCCCCAGATCACTGAAGCGTTACTGGCTGTTTGATTTATGTTTTCTTCTCCAATGCAGGTCTTTTGCATCTCATCTTTCTTCAGAATATATGATAAGAGCTCTGATTTTCAGTGTCTTACTTCAGCAGCATCAGCTAATATAATTTGGTAGATCTATGGACCAGCTGAAAGATCTGAACAGAACTCCAAATCAGGTCATTAACATTCTGGTTGTATATAGGCCTTTTTAACACTCAAGTTGATCCAATATTGACAATGTCTTGATGAAAATTATATACTGAACAAAAATATAAATGTAACATGTAAAGTGTTGGTCCCATGTTTCATTACCTGAAATAAAGGATCCCAGCAATTTTCCATACGCACAAAAAAGCTTAGCTCTCAAATTTTGCGCACAAATTTGTTTACATCCCTGTTAGTGAGCATTTCTCCTTTACCAAGATAATCCACCCACCAGACAGGTGTGGCATATCAAGAAGCTGATTAAACAACATGATCATTACACAGGTGCACCTTGTGCTCGGGACAAGAAAAGGCCACTCTAAAATGTACAGTTTTGTCACACAACACAATGCCACAGATGTCTCAAGTTTTGAGGGAGTGTGCAAATGGCATGCATACTGCAAGAATGTCCACCAGAGCTGTTACCAGATAATTTGTTAATTTCTCTACCATAAGCCACCTCAACGTCGTTTTAGAGAATTTGGCAGTACGTCCAACCGGCTTCACAACCGCAGACCGCATGTAACCACGCCAACCCAGGACCTCAACATCCGGCTTCTTCACTTGCGGGCTCGTCTGAGACCAGCAACCCAGACAGCTGATGAAATTGTGGGTTTGCTCAACCAAATAATTTCTGCACAAACTGTCAGAAACCATCTTGGGAAGCTCATCTGAGTGCTCGTTGTCGACACCAGGGTCTTCACCTGACTGCAGTTCGGTTTTGTAACCGACTTCAGTGGATAAATGCTCACTTTCGATGGCCACTGGCATGCTGGAGAAGTGTGCTCTTCACGGATGAATCCCGGTTTCAACTGTACCGGGCAGATGGCGTTGTGTGGGCTAACGGGTTGCTGATGTCAACGTTGTCAACAGAGTGCCCCATGGTGGGGTTATGGTATGGGAAGCATAAGCCATAAATAATTTTATCAATGGCAATTTGAATGCACAGAGATACCGTGATGAGATCCTGAGGCCCATTGTCGTGCCATTCATCCGCTGCCACCACCTCGTGTTTCAGCATGATATTGCACGGCCCCATGTCGCAAGGATCTGTACACAATTCCTGGAAGCTGAAAATATCCCAGTTCTTCCATGGCCTGCATACTCACCAGACATGTCACTCATTGAGCATGTCACCCATTGAGCATGTTTGGGATGCTCTGGATTGACGTATATGGCAGCATGTTCCAGTTCCCGCCAATATCCAGCAACTTTGCACAGCCATTGAAGAGGAGTGGGATAACATTCCACAGGCCACAATCAACAGCCTGATCAACTCTATGCGAAGGAGATGTCACTCTGCATGAGGCAAATGGTGGTAACACCAGATACTGACTGGTTTTCTGATCCACGCCCCTCCCATTTTCTTTCAAGATATCTGTGACCAACAGATGCATATCTCTATTCCCAGTCATGTGAAATCAATAGATTAGGGCCTAATTCATTTATTTCAATTGCCTGATTTCCTTATATGAACTGTAACTCACTAAAAACTTTGAAATCGTTGCATGTTGCGTTTATATTTTGTTCAGTGTAGATAAGGAGTTTCATCCAGTATGTTCGAACATGAAAGAGGAATGTGTGTGAATGTATTGTGGGAGGCCCTGGTGCACGCTGCTGGTTTTTGATTGAATAAACTGGGAGGGAACTTTGACTTTCGAGGGCAGACCCTTGATAGATAGATAGAGTTTATGACCAATAGAAGTTAAGTTGTATTTTTCAGTACCCAATCATATCAAGAATTTGTCCTTCACCTCGCCCACTTGTAAGTAAATTAGACACGATAATTTAGCTAGTTGAGCAGTTGTCAGTTTCAGACATAAGATTTGGCAATATTTTGTCAACGGTGTAGCTGAATAGTTTACATAAAGTAAAGTTATAATAGCCAACGGTAGATGAAAAGGTTGGGTATTTAATACGTTAATTGTGAACTAATGCAGGGCTAATATTTGAGATTATTTCTTTATTTTAGTTCGAGAGAGAAGTTAGAGGAAATCATGGTCATCACAAAAGAAGGCTGGCTGCTAGCAAGAAGCTAACCATGTTGGATAGCTATCATAAATAAATATTGAAAACTGGCTAATTTAAACCGAAGAAGAGGTAGCTAAAACTACTGATTGTGAGCTTTGATACGGTCGCCTGTTGAAGTCGTGAAGTGTTTTCGGCTGCTTCATTTTGCACTTGGGGGGGATGTCGTGCAGAAGTGAAGCGGCTCGGGGGGGCACCCCTTGTCTACAACCACTTCGAGCCACTGTCCCATTCCAGCTTCACAACAAAGCACAACCGCGCAGCAAAGATTCCAAGACGGGTAAATAAATATGCTCATTTTGGTGCTAAATATATGTCCCTTGCTAAATATTACACTATGGTGGGAATGTCGCTAGAGTTTGATTTGTTATTGCTGTCTATCACTAGTCTAACGGGTATGTGGGCTATCTATTATGAATAACTGTTATAGTATCTTACTGTAGAGCTACATGGGCCTATTGTACGTTTAGTAGCCTCTGGCTAGAAACTCCCACCACTCAATTTTTCTAAACAGACCACCGACTTTCAGTGAATATAGCCTAATTTGCACCAGCCATCCCCCACCCTGTGTGCCCTGCTCAAGCATGTGTGTTTTGATGTGGGTCTCTGTAGGACCCTATAAAATGAAGTGTTAAAAAAAAACGATTAAAAGCAGAAATGTGCTACTTAATTGGAGCATAATGTCATGTTTGTTCCATCATATTTTTTATTCTATAATTTCATTATTACACCACATAACTGGAACATCATAATAGAAAGAGTTCTCAGTCAGTGACATCAACGTTTTTTTATTACATCACAAATTATTGGAATGACATCTAGAGTTCACAGTGACATCAATACTTTTATTATGTCACAAATGATTTGAATGGCATCATAAAGAGTTCTCAGTAACCACGTTTCTATCCACAGTTTTTATGCGACTAAAGTCGTACCATCTATAAAAAAAACAAATCCCGACAGGTAGTTTCGGTACAATTTTATAAATGCTGACAGGTTATTTGTTCGTTTGACATGGTGGGATCTTTTTGTGTCAGTAAAATGTATTATGCGAGAAATGCTGGTGGAAATATTGATATAATAACCACAGTGGAGGCTGGTGGGAGGAGCTATAGGAGGACGGGCTCATTGTAAAGACTGCAATGGTATAAATTGAAGAGTATCAAACACATCAAATATATGGAAACCACATGTATGACTCCTTTCCATTAATTCCATTCCAGCCATTACAATGAGCCCGTCCTCCTATAACTACTCCCACCAGCCTCCACTGAATAACCATCATATCGAAGTAAACTTGGAGTCACACGATGATAAGGTGTGTGGTCCTCCCACTATTACTCAGGAAACCATACAGTTTATTAGGCTACAGATTAAATAAGTTATGCTGAACTTCACAGGGTGGTGAAAGTGCACGGGGATCTTGATGCTACTTTCCAATAAATATCAAGGGTATTATTCTGGTGACATGATTGATGCTTGACTGCCGTTTGACAAATACAAATATCCTCGCTCTTATCCATAATAATCTCAAGTAGACCACCCTACCAAGAGAGGTTTAAAGGGACCTTTGTTTTGGGCCCTGTGGCCTGTAATTCCCCAGTGTGTTTCAACGGTACACTGTAAGGATGCACCAGTAGCTCTAGTGCTTGTTCTGTGGTGTTTATGTATACATCCTATCTGCCCTGGGAAGTGGGGTGGAGGGAAGTGGGATGAGTTGGGGAATAGGTTTCAGGAGTAGAATTGTTGCCAGTCTTGTGCAACATGTCTTTGGAGGGCTTTGCTGCAGGCTCAGTGGCTTGGCTCACACCTGCCAGAGATTACAAAGAGCTGCCAACACACACCTACTTGTACTACGAGCTCACCAAGCCCTGCAAGAGGTGGTGGGGGCCGGGGGAGGCCATTTTGTGAACTCCTGCTGGTGCTAAAGTAGTTTTGATCCTCCTTTATTATGATGTGACTATTTGTTGCAGAGGTAGGCTGAGCATTGAGTTTGCCAGACCAACATGCTGTCATACTGGGGCACCGTAACACAAAACAGCCCTCCATACAATATTTGCATCTGTCTTCTGTTAGAAATATTAACCTCATCACACACTCACAGTATAAAGCAGACACATTTCATATCAGTACATGTGATGTCTTTTGGCTGTTTCCATAAGGTGACAGGAACAAGTCTCGCCCCCCAAAGCCGACCATTCGTCGCACCCTGTCCCTGGATACAATCGTTGGACCATATCTGCAGGGCCGGTGGCCTAAGGAGGGGGAGAGCCAAGGAGTCACCTGTGTCAATGACAAGGCCACACAGGTAAACTCACCGGACTCGGTCACAGCCCAAATGTGAATTTAACATTAACAGCCATTAACTCATGTAGATCTGAAACCGAGAGGAATATACTCATGCCAAGCCTTTATTGATATAAACTCAGCAAAAAAAGAAACGTCCCTTTTTCAGGACCCCATCTTTCAAAGATAATTCGTAAAAATCAAAATAACTTCACAGATCTTCATTGTAAAGGGTTTAAACACTGTTTCCCATGTTTGTTCAATGAACCATAAACAATTAATGAACATGAACCTGTGGAACGGTCTTTAAGACACTAACTGTAGGCAATTAAGGCTACAGATATGAAAACGTAGGACACTACTGACTCTGAAAAACACCAAAAGAAAGATGCCCAGGGTCCCTGCTCATGCGTGAACGTGCCTTAGGCATGCTGCAAGAAGGCATGAGGACTGCAGATGTGGCCAGGGCAATAAATTGCAATGTCCGTACTGTGAGACGCCTAAGACAACGCTACATGGAGACAGGACGGACAGCTGATCGTCCTAGCAGTGGCAAACCACGTGTAACAACACCTGCACAGGATCAGTACATCCGAACATCACACCTGCGGGACAGGTACAGGATGGCAACAACAACTGCCCGAGTTACACCAGGAACGCACAATCCCTCCATCAGTGCTCAGACTGTCCGCAATAGGCTGAGAGAGGCTGGACTGAGGGCTTGTAGGCCTGTTGTAAGGCAGGTCCTCACCAGACATCACCGGCAACAACGTCGCCTAGGGCACAAACCCGCTGTCGCTGGCCCAGACAGGACTGGCAAAAAGTGCTCTTCACTGACGAGTCGCAGTTTTGTCTCACCAGGGATGATGGTCGGATTCGCGTTTATCGTTGAAGGAATGAGTGTTACACCGAGGCCTGTACTCTGGAGCGGGATCGATTTGGAGGCGGAGGGTCTGGGGCGGTGTGTCACAGCATCATCGGACTGAGCTTGTTGTCATTGCAGGCAATCTCAACGCTGTGTGTTACAGGGAAGACATCCTCCTCCCTCGTGGTACCCTTCCTGCAGGCTCATCCTGACATGACCCTCCAGCATGACAATGCCACCAGCCATACTGCTAGTTCTGTGCGCGATTTCCTGCAAGACAGGAATGTCAGTGTTCTGCCACGGCCAGCGAAGAGCCCGGATCTCAATCCCATTAAGCACATCTGGGACCTGTTGGATCGGAGGGTGAGGGCTAGGGCCATTCCCCCCAGAAATGTCTGCGAACTTGCAGGTGCTTTGGTGGAAGAGTGGGGTAACATCTCACAGCAAGAACTGGCAAATCTGGTGCCGTCCATGAGGAGGAGATGCACTACAGTACTTAATGCAGCTGGTGGCCACACCAGATACTGACTGTTACTTTTGATTTTGACCCCCCCCCCCCCCCCCCTTTGTTTAGGGACATATTATTCCATTGCTGTTAGTCACATGTCTGTGGAACTCCTTCAGTTTATGTCTGTTGTTGAATCTTGTTATGTTCATACAAATATTTACACATGTTAAGTTTGCTGAAAATAAACGTAGTTGACAGTGAGATGACATTTTCTTTTTTTGCTGAGTTTAGCTTAAACGCCATTTGTAGCTCTCCATTCAACTTGTCACCATTGTTGCTTACAATGGCCAGACTTATAATCTATGAAAATGTATGTTATAAACACTGTTGCGTTATTCTGTGTACTCTGAAGTAAATAGACTTAGTGAGGCTATCTGAGGCTGGCTCTGCAGGTGTCTAGCAGTTCCAGTCTGAAGCTGAGGAGCAGTGGAAGGCAGCCAACTGGAAATAGTTGTTTTGTTCTCTTCAACCTCTGCTGTCTCTTCAACCTACCCCTTGTGCCCCCCTCTACTGTATCCACCCCCCCATCTAGTGCACAAGGCCTGGGCTAACCTAACCACACTCCACCACTGTGCCCTCAATCTTGACACAGTTTACACTGAACAATCCCCCTGCCCTCCATTGTACAGAACAGACCCCTCCCGACCTCATTATACAGACCCCCCCCCCCACCCCCGGCACAGTTTCCCTGCTTTATTTAAGATGATATAACTGTCTCCTATTGTCCGCCATTATCTCCTTCTTCAGTAATGAAAACTGTCACATTTTCCCATACAACCAGCCTCTTGTGGATTTGGGGGAGTTCCCCTCTGCCACAAACACACAGACTGAAGAGATACCCAATCTAAACAATTTGTAGTAACAGGTTCAAAACCCCTTTGTAACATATTAAAAGTAAATATACATAAAATCAAACACAAGGCTGAATTGGCATTTGAAGCGTTAGACACCCAGAACATTCCATCACCTTTTGACCGGGTCTTTTAATAGCCATGTGTCCTGTGATCTCTCTGGTCATGTTTGGTGGAGGAAGGGAGGAGGAGGGGGATGTAAGGAGCAGTAACACTACACCGACCGGGTTGGGTAACTGACTGGTGTCCCTCCATGACATATTTAGCCATGTCTGACCACGGCTCCACCAGATAGGGCGGAAGATGGCGTTAAGGTTTTTTATTGTAATTTATAGCCGGGACCGACTCTGTTACACTACTGTGCGTCATGACATCAGTGTGGAACTCTGTGAGAGGACTGAGAGCTCTAGGAGACTAGACCCAGAGAGAAGGTTGCATTTTGGGGAAACGTGACCTGGAGAGGGACCTGCATTTGGAGGAGTGGAGGCCCAGAGAAAATAGCTAAGTTAGGGGGAGGCAGAACAGAAAAAAAGAAATTGTTGTTGAGGAGAAATTGGGCAACAGCAAGAGGATCCTCTCCAGGCTGTGTGTGTGAAGCAGGAGTGTGGAGACGAGGGAGGGCAGCTCAGCAGATAGACCGCCACACTCTCATCCTCCCATCTGCTAGCAACGCTCACCCCGGGGCTTGTGGGTATAGGAGGAGCCGGGGCTATGTCGGTAGGAACTCTCCACTGTACGCTCTCTTCTTCCTCCTCTTGCATGTGAAGTGAGGGAGCTCAGTTTTGATAAATGAAGGAGGGACAGCACAGGACGTCACCATGTTGATTACCCAAACTCTGTGTGGCGTTCTCCAATTGTGTGTGAATACAGCTGTCAGTGTGCATGTTGTTTGTGTAGGTAGGCCCTATGTGTACTTATGTTAAACTGTCTTTGCTGTTTTGTAGCCTTTATTGCTGTAGTTGACATGTGTCGCTTGTGTATTTGCATTGCTGTGGTTTTTGTTTTACTCGTTTGTAGGGGGTGTTGTCAGCATCAGTGGTTTACTCCTCGCCTGACTGTCTGCCTTCTACACAGCTGTGTGACTGGCAGGTGTGCCTGACAGCTGTAGGGCACCACTTCTGTACTCTAGTCAAATCATGTAGCTCGGGTGCTGTTTCACTTCCATAGGTGTAAATTGTACAACGAGAGAGGTGCAAAACAGGTTCACTGCTCTGTAATGTGCTACTGAAAGGTCAATCTTAGAACTCCTAGATAAAATTACCAGTTGTGTAATTGAATGATCGACAAGAACATAATGCTCTCTGACTCCAATCCAATCACCAAAGTTTCCACAGGGAAAAAAAACTAATATTTTCAAGTCAGTTACATTTTTCAGAAAGTTTGTGTGTGTGTTTTGTGCAGAGTTGTATAAGCAATGTGTGGCTGGTTACTATGATAACATCCCTGCTCCTCCCATAGACTCCCAGCTCCTGGGCAGAGGAGACTCGGGGAAGAAGAAGTGTTGGCGGGCACAAACGCTCAGCATCATGGGGCAGCGCTGAACACTTGAGGGAGGTGAGTACTTCCTTTTTGAATGTAAATGTTTAATAAAAAATATCCTTTAACCAGGAGCTTGTCAATCAAACGTCATTCTCACAATATACCCGTAGAACTCAGAGATGGGACTATTTTTACTCTCCTGTTGTCAGGGGTGACTAGGTCAGTCACACCCCTCTCTCCCTGTTGAAACATTCCTCCCCTCATTCTTTCCTCTGAAAGACAAGCGTCTCTTCTAAGTCCTTTCCCCTCTATGCCTTGACCTCAGGTGGCTAAGCTCAGGCACCAGCTGCAGAAGCGCTCCCGACACGCCCCTCCCTCTGGGGGATATGAGCGTCCCCACCACCCCCTACCTGGAGGCCATGCACCAGGCGCTACACAGGTACGTCCTATACAGCCCTCCCCATAATACTGTGGATTTGATCTGCACTCTGAACCAGTCCTGAACCAGTCCTTATTTATACTGCACCTTGTTTACTTGAATGTTATTTTTGAATTTGAATGTCCCCTGAATGACTGTAATGTAAGATCATGTATGCAGACAGTGGGACCCAGGAGGTGTTCAGAGTATTCACTGATGCAGAACACTGATGGTTGGCCTTCTGAATTTCTCAGGCAGAGTAGAGTGAAGCTAGCAACAGGGCTATAAAAACAGCACTGCTTTTCTTAGGAGCTGGTGTCATCAAGCTGCCTGGTTGCACCACCACCACGCTATGACAGGAATACATTCTTACTCACACGTGTAGATACATGGCCTTTGGCACATACCCTCACACTCAAGCCACTTTGTGTGGCACAGATAAAATTAGACCATAGACACTCCTGTGCTCCATTTTCATGTGTGTTTGGTGACCCCCCAGACGGTGCACCTGAGCAGGTTGGCCCCTCGGCTGCGGCGCAGTGTGGAAGGTCTGAACCTGGAGCTGGAGGGTGTCTTTGTGTCAGAGACACCTGAGGACCAGCACAAGGTGAGCATGTTTAAATGCAGCCTGTCTGCTTGGGTACCGGCTGGCTTAGATCCATGATCTCAACCCTGTATGGATCCGCTGGATCCCCCTAGTGACAGCCAATTAGCCCAGTCCTTATTTTTCTCAAATGGCCAGTGTCCCAGAGCCTCACCATACCCTCTCCCTGTTCCCCTGTTAGATCCTGGATGTCCCAGACGGCCACAGAGCCCCAGTTCCTGCCCAGAGGTGCAGCAGTGGTACCCAGAGTGAGCCCTCCCCTGCCTCGTTCGACCCTGCTTTGCTCTCTCCATCTGAGTCTCCCTGTGCCCTGAACCCGGCTCTACTCTCCCCATCTCAGTCTCCCTGCCCCATCGGAGAGCCAGGCGAGTAAATGGATGGTTTGTTAGACTTGAATGACTTAAATACCGGAGTGGACGTTTAAATCATGTTTTTTTCTTCTGTGCAGACCCTGTGGACTGTGAGACCATGTGCCCCTCTCCCTCTCCAGTTGTTCTGGACCCCTCCCTGTTGCAGCCCTCCTCCTCCTCCCCTCGTCCCAACAAGACCTACTCCTTCCAGAGGGAGCCCCCTGAGGGCTGTGAGCGAGTACGAGTAGTGTGTGAAGAGGCTATGTGAGTATTGAAACACACACAGACTTTGTGTTATTAGACATTATTTGGTCTAATCGCCTCTATTTCTGACCCTCAACCCCAGGTCTCCCTGTCAGAGAGAGCCTCTCCTCCAGGTATCCTGCCCTGACCCCAACAAGGTGAATTTCACTCCTCATGGAGGCTCTGCCTTCTGCCCTGTCAGTCTGCTCAAGCCCCTGCTGCCCTCCATGGACCTCCTGTTCCGCGGCCTGTCAGTCTCGCCTGTCACAGGCTGCTCAGGTCAAGGCTCTGCCCCCTACCAGACAGTTGGGCATTCGGTTGGCAGCTACATGAGTGGACCCCTCCAGGACTCAACCACCATGTGAATGTGGAGAGGGGGTTGTTCTCAGACTGGTGAAGATGTGGATTTATCCTAATAGGAGATTCAATCAAAATGGCTGCAACCACTTTGTCAGGGACTGTTGTGACAATGACAAACCTCCAGATCTATTCAGCTAAGATCAACAAAAAGAGAGACCAGAGAGACATCTACAGTGGGTTCTCTGTGGGATCAGGATCAAATCTGTCATTGGTGTTCTTTCCTGATTGGTTCTCAGAGGGACTTGCTGGCAACTGGGTACATTGATAGTCACTTACCCCCTTGGTTGGGTGGGGGGTAAATTAGTTGTGGGAATGTTAGTGTGTGACTGTGTAAAAAACATATTTTTATACTACAAAACATGGCCTTTCTCTGATGCCCTTAGATTTGTTACAGATATAGCTAGAGCTTGGAGTCAGATGTACTTATTAGTGATACCCGGGTTGACTCTGTAGCTCAGCTGGTAGAGCACGGTGCTTGTAACGCCAAGGTAGTGGGTTCGATCCCCGGGACCACCCATACACAAATAAATGTATGCACGCATGACTGTAAGTCGCTTTGGATAAAAGCGTCTGCTAAATGGCATATTATTATTATTATTATTATTGACTCAACCTGCAGTCCCCGCGGTTATATCAGCAGGGCGGACGGGTTTAGTCATCAAATATTGTGTGGCTGAAGGGCGGTTGTTGAATAAAGAGAGAACTATACCTTAAAAAAATCCATAAATGTATAATTCTTGTGCAATTTATATCTATAGGCTACATTGAGGTTGTTCTTTCATTATTTTAGCCTATCTGGTATTAGTGCATAAACCTCAGATTTAGGGCTTAACTGTACACGTGCCAAATAGCCTACACAGCATATCACCAAATATGCTTTTGGGAACGGGCAGAAAAAGTTAATGTCAATCCATGGAAGCAAAAAGGACATTGTCGAAGTTTAATTAAATAAGACAAAAGCTGCGAAAGGAGAGTTGAAAATAAAGCGAAGGGGCCTCCTGAGTGGCGCAGTGGTCCAAGGCACTGCATCGCCGTGCTAGAGGCGTCACTACAGACCCGGGTCTGTAAAAATACCTGATATACTAAGAAAATGTACACTGAGTATACCAAACATTAGGAACACCTTCCTAATATTGAGTTGCAAAAAATGAGAAATGTTGCAATAAATTGAATACCTGAATTCCTACCAAAATGTCTGAACAATATCTGATTTAAAAATTCAAAATGTTTGGAGTATCTACATTCATCATCCAACTGTTGTATTTATTATTATTTTTATACCTTTTAACAATTTCGCTGACCGTTGCTAACTTATGGGAATGTTAAATGGACATATGGAAGTCTAGTGAGCACTTAATAAGTATTGTGCCCAAAAGTGCCATGAACTATATTTTGGGGAAGTGATCAGAAAGCCAAATGTTTAGTTCAGTTATGATCTCCTGGTGTTCATGAAGCTGCCTTCCAATGGCACTTTTTAACCGTGTGATGTTTGACAGATCTACATTGTATGTTTTCATGTTCAAGATCACATTATGTTGCATCCATGCTGTATAATGTGTATTTTCTTCCAGGTTTGTGTGATGACAAAATAGGACATTGTCCCAAATGTTTGTAACAAAGATTGTTGTTGAAAACTATATGAATGTGTCATAGGCCTACCAAGCAAAATCTCCATGACGAGTCGAGCACTTAGAAATTGCAGTAATGTAGCTAGCCAGTATACTGATGGAGTCAGTACAATTGACATGCAGTATTAATAACTCACTGAGGCCCAGTTAACTGGTTCTTCAACTTTCAGTTCAAATGTTTATGAGCATACATACTTATTGTCAAGGGAGATTAATAATCAGGGTACGAATGACACATTTACTCTTCGGGTTGCCTACATTCATATGTCAATTTCTAGACCCCAATGGGGGGGGGGGGGGTACTGTTTTTGTATCTGTGAAGTAATTTCATTATGATAGACGTTTCCCATATATAGGGCCTAGTAGAACGTTTTTACAGTTGCTTTATGAGTATACCTAGTGAGTACTCGCTATGTTTATGACATGACCTATCCCCTGCTCAGGTTGATGATGAGCAATCGTTATGGCAATATAGTGGCTGTTCCTTTCAAAGGTGTCATATGAACAATTTGCCTGGGGTTTAGTTGCCCATCAGTTAGAAATGCAGCGATGAGCTTCGAACGCATGTAGTCATACATCAGCATGAACCTCTGCTCTGTTCTGATGTAAAGGTACAATTTGAATCATTTAGGCATAGTTGTCTTTTCCCCCAGCTTCTGACGTTTTACCTACCTGTTTTGTGGTGTAAAATGACATTGTATCAACAATATGTAGGCGTTCTTCCATTACTTTCCTGTATAATTTCAAGTTTTAAGCATTGAAGTTGTATAAAATGTTTTTAGTTTGACAGTGGACACTAATACTAAATGAACATTAAACGAATTGTGAATGGGTTCAGTCATTATGGTTATTGAACAATGGTAAAATGTGGTGGTGCATATCATTGTTGTCAACTTTCCCTTTGACACGTGTAGCTGTGTCTCTAGAGTATAAGCCCCGCCCTTTCACAATTCCGTCTGTTTTAATGGCCGAATCTAGTGGTTTATTGCCTTATTTGGACCAATAGAATCCATCCACATACCTGGACGAAAAAAGGCACGCGACAAGTTAGAGAAAGGCCCCCAAATGTTTTAAATAGTAGTCTGTGTAAACTGCTATTTAAATTAACAATAAATCAAAGAGTATAGATCACATATGTTACAGCTGAATATTTTGATACATCAACAAAAATAAGAACATTATTGAGCTACCTTGTATGCTGCATATAAGTCGATTCAAATGAGAAAACAAATCACATGGTTCACGCATAGTTACAAAATTGTAGCATCTGAGTTCTGCCAACACGTCCACCCACTCAATACCAGTACAACCTACTGATGTATATGAAGGGTATGGTAGCTACAAACTCAGGCATATCCGTTGAGGGCTCTGAATGAACCACTGAGGTCTTTGAGCCAGCTTGTTATCTGACGTACCTCAATGAAAACAACTACACTCCGGTATCCTTTCCACCGGGAAAATTGTCTAAATGGGATGCCTTTGACATAGAACCTGGATCGGGACAGGAGTAACGTTAGTTAGTACGAGAGACCTGCAATTAAGGACATCTACTCCGGATTCAACACTGTACTGCGACAGCTGGCTTGACAACAATGATGGCTTTTGCTAATTGCTAGCTAGCAACAAACACACCAATCTAACGTTGGCTAACTAGCTGGCTAGCTAACAGGCGCATTTAACTAAATATTTGAAGAGGAACCAAAGACAGATCTATAGTCACATTAGCAACTGTCTGCCCAGTTGGGGTAACGTTACAGCGTCACCATTTCCGGGCTTGTGACATCTGGGATAGTGGAGCGGGACGTTGCTTTGAGGGGTACGGGGATCGGATCTGTATCGGTTTCCATACCCGGACTGCTAGAGGACAGCATGGCTGCAGGAAAGGGAGCGGGGAAGCCCTCGCTACTGCAGAACGAGCGTATACGATTCATTGTCTGTTTCCTCGGAGTCTTCGTTTGTTATTTTTACTATGGCATATTACAAGAGACAATGTAAGTAGCATCCTGGTCTGACATCCGAGCCACAGCATTGATTTCAAAACATAATCTCGTGGCTCTTTGTGCTCACTGCTTTCATTGGCTGTTTCTTTGTGCATATTTAGTTGGTGATACTGTAGTGTAACAAGATCATGTCAATATTGAATGTAGGCGAGCCAACACTACAGAACTAAAATGGTGAAAAACTATAATCCCTATGGTATTAGCTAGCTAAATACTGTAGATATGTCTTGAATGGTATGTCACTTGAGGGTGAGGAACCATATCTTGTTTACAGTGATGATTTGTATCTGTAGTCAACCAGAGCAGACTACTAGTACCTCACACTGCCCTCTCCTTCTATTTGTATAGCCTACAGATACTCCACAGTCTAATTAACAAATTCCCTTGCTGGAAATCAAGGCCTGTGTGTCCTATCTGTGTGTTATAAGAAGTGGATTAACATGAGTGGTTGCACTGATAAATGGTCATAATGCTGTTTGTCTGATTTACCCAGTACCCGAGGACAGTATGGTGAGGGGGAGAAGAAGGAGAAGTTTGTTTATGCCACAACACTGGTATTCATCCAATGCATCATCAATGCTGGGTTCGCCAAGATCTGTGAGTAAACCACACGTAGTCATCAATCATGGCCTTTCACCTTCTGCCCAATACATTAATCTCCAACATATCATGCCAACGTGGGTGTTTCAATGGTCTGTTGGTGTTGAATCTCCATTTATTATATATTTGTATCTTCTCTCCCTCCTCCCCATCAGTGATTCAGTTTTTTGAGGGTTCCAGACCGGACCACACCAAGAGCTGGCTCTATGGAGTGTGTTCCCTGTCTTATCTTGGAGCCATGGTATCCAGCAACTCTGCCCTACAGTATGTTAATTACCCCACACAGGTCAGTCTTATCCCTCACCCCATACTGTCTCTCGCTGTCGTCATCATTTTTTGTGATATTGTATTATTCTAATATCTAAACATCCTCTCTATTGTTGTCACAGGTGTTGGGGAAGTCTTGTAAGCCCATCCCAGGTAGGTGTAATAATTATATTATTGCTCATCCTGACCCCACTCTCAACACGTGAATACAGTGGGGAAAAAAAGTATTTAGTCAGCCACCAATTGTGCAAGTTCTCCCACTTAAAAAGATGAGAGAGGCCTGTAATTTTCATCATAGGTACATGTCAACTATGACAGACAAAATGAGAAATTTTTTTTCCTGAAAATCACATTGTAGGATTTTTTATGAATTTATTTGCAAATTATGGTGGAAAATAAGTATTTGGTCAATAACAAAAGTTTCTCAATACTTTGTTATATACCCTTTTTTGGCAATGACACAGGTCAAACGTTTTCTGTAAGTCTTCACAAGGTTTTCACACACTGTTGCTGGCCCAATTTTGGCCCATTCCTCCATGCAGATCTCCTCTAGAGCAGTGATGTTTTGGGGCTGTCGCTGGGCAACACGGACTTTCAACTCCCTCCAAAGATTTTCTATGGGGTTGAGATCTGGAGACTGGCTAGGCCACTCCAGGACCTTGAAATGCTTCTTACGAAGCCACTCCTTCGTTGCCCGGGCGGTGTGTTTGGGATCATTGTCATGCTGAAAGACCCAGCCACGTTTCATCTTCAATGCCCTTGCTGATGGAAGGAGGTTTTCACTTAAAAATTCACGATACATGGCCCCATTAATTCTTTCCTTTACACGGATCAGTCGTCCTGGTCCCTTTGCAGAAAAACAGCCCCAAAGCATGATGTTTCCACCCCCATGCTTCACAGTAGGTATGGTGTTCTTTGGATGCAACTCAGCATTCTTTGTCCTCCAAACACGACGAGTTGAGTTTTTACCAAAAAATTCTATTTTGGTTTCATCTGACCATATGACATTCTCCCAATCCTCTTCTGGATCATCCAAATGCACTCTAGCACACTTCAGACGGGCCTGGACATGTACTGGCTTAAGCAGGGGGACACGTCTGGCGCAGCAGGATTTGAATCCCTGGCGGCGTAGTGTGTTACTGATGGTAGGCTTTGTTACTTTGGTCCCAGCTCTCTGCAGGTCATTCACTAGGTCCCCCCGTGTGGTTCTGGGATTTTTGCTCACCGTTCTTGTGATCATTTTGACCCCACGAGGTGAGATCTTGCGTGGAGCCTCAGATCGAGGGAGATTATCAGTGGTCTTGTATGTCTTCCATTTCCTAATAATTGCTCCCACAGTTGATTTCTTCAAACCAAGCTGCTTACCTATTGCAGATTCAGTCTTCCCAGCCTGTTGCAGGTCTACAATTTTGTTTCTGGTGTCCTTTGACAGCTCTTTGGTCTTGGCCATAGTGGAGTTTGGAGTGTGACTGTTTGAGGTTGTGGACAGGTGTCTTTTATACTGATAACAAGTTCAAACAGGTGCCATTAATACAGGTAACGAGTGGAGGACAGAGGAGCCTCTTAAAGAATAAGTTACAGGTCTGTGAGAGCCAGAAATCTTGCTTGTTTGTAGGTGACCAAATACTTATTTTCCACCATAATTTGCAAATAAATTCATAAAAAATCCTACAATGTGATTTTCTGAATTTTGTTTTCTAAATTTGTCTGTCATAGTTGACGTGTACCTATGATGAAAATTACAGGCCTCTCTCAACTTTTTAAGTGGGAGAACTTGCACAATTGGTGGCTGACTAAATACTTTTTTTCCCCACTGTATGTCATAAACAAGTCATATGTAGGCTTTGGCTTGGTGACCAGTACAGATTTGAGGGGTTAGTTTGCCATATTTTATTGCAGGGCCTCTTTCTGTAGCAGTGTGTCATGTTTCAGTGTCAGCCGGACTCCCTTAGCTTCATTTCCTGTGCCCTTTTTTTAAAGCTGCAATATGAAACTTTTTGGGCGACCCGACCAAGTTCACATTGAAATATGAGTTATAGATCTGTCATTCTCATTGCAAGCAAGTCTAAGAAGCAGTATATCTGTTCGATGTGCACTATTTCTATCCTTCCCGTTCTTAAGTTTTGTTTTTGCATCTTTTACTTTCGGTTTTGTTGAAAATACAATATTTTTGGATATTGAAAATATATTTTCACCACGGTTTAGATGGTACAATGATTCTTTACACTATACATGTCTTGTTTTGTCACATAAACTGAAATTAGACAAACGATTAGAATTTATGCAACCAGGAAATGGCGGAGCGATTTCTGCATATTGCACCTTTTAAACTACACATCACATCAGCCCTTCCAAACTCAGTGTCCCTGTTCATTGAACATACATTCTATTTGCATGCACCTGCTGTGAGTCTCTGACTCCCCATGTAGACTACCCTATGACTGCAAGTGTCATGCTATCAATAAGTACATGAAGGTTATCTTCTGTCCCTCCCGGTATGTTGTAATATGTAAACACTGTCTCAGGTTAGTGTGTTCTGTAGTAATACACTGCCCAGTCTTATCCCTTGAGCATGTATAGCCCATTAACCTACAAAGCCATGATTATTACCCCCTGACTGACTTGTCTTTCTATGTGCACATTGACCTAATAGACCAGTGATGGCTGCTGCTGATAACCGCCCGTCACATCCCTTTGCCTTTGGTTCCACAGTGATGATCCTGGGTGTATTTGTACTGAGGAAGAAATACCCGCTGGCCAAGTACCTGTGTGTGCTGTTGATCGTCAGCGGGGTGGCCCTGTTCCTCTATAAACCCAACAAGAGTGTCACTTCCACAGAATCTGCTTTCGGCTTCGGGGAGATCCTGTTGGTGAGTGTAACTGTCCTCACACTGTCCTCATCTGCCTGTGTTATTATCTCTTTGACCTGGTATGTGTTTCTCTGTGTGTGTCTCTGCCTATATGTGTATTTGCTGTCTGTGTCTCTGTGGGATCGTAAATGTGACCTTCTCTCTCCCTGTAACTAGCTGCTATCTCTGACCATGGACGGTTTGACTGGTGTGGCCCAGGACCACATGAGGAGTCTCTTCCAGACCAGTGCCAACCACATGATGCTCAACATCAACATGTGGTCCACCCTGGTGCTGGGACTAGGTGAGTCACCTGTTCCCCCTCACTAGTCTGAAATTATACACTTTGTCAGATCTCTCTGCTTTGTGTTTCTTCTATATATCCATCTCTGCCAGCTCCATGTCTCTACAAATACCATTATCTTCATCTCAGATCTCCCTTCTTAGTCTAATAAGTGTCCCCATCTCATGCTTTTCTATGGCCCTACTTTTGTCAGAAACCTTTTCTTCTGTTTTGGCCAAAGCAGTCCCCACTTCCACAATTTTATTCAACCCAATCAAACTGCTGTTACTGCTCCGTTCCAGTAGGGGGAGCCCTTAATCCACTGTTGATTTGGATTTTGGATCAGGTATTTTCACTGGAAAGTTATGGAACCAATCTCAGCATGGGTTTGATTCCAAAACAATCAAAGTAATTAATTGGCTTCTCCCCCCATTTGTAGCAGAAGAAAAAGCTAACCAATCGTATAACTTGAGATTAAAAAATAAGAATCAAGCAGCAATTGTTACATGCAGGATAAAAACATATATTTATTCTGAATTGTGTCACTTTCAGTCAATTATCTCATGTGTTTCTCTCTTTCAGGGGTGTTGTGGACAGGTGAGGTATGGGACTTCCTGAGCTTCACAGACCGTCACCCCAGCATCCTCTGGAACATCCTTTTGTTTGGAATCACCAGCGCTTTAGGCCAGGTGGGTTTCACATGGGTGTGACTGTGTGTGCCATGTCTGCAAATCACGTTATACATTTTCATTGGTTCACATGTGTGTAATTCTTATGGATACGTGCTAGTAGTTTACAGTGGTCTTGTTTACAGTGCAGAGGGTATTTTATAGTAACAGTCATTCACTCCTCTTCCTCTCTTAGACCTTCATCTTCATGACCGTGGTGTACTTCGGCCCTCTCACCTGCTCCATCGTCACTACCACACGGAAGTTCTTTACCATCCTGGGCTCTGTCCTTCTGTTCGGCAATGTCCTCAACACCATGCAGTGGGTCGGCACTATCCTCGTGTTCCTTGGTGAGTAACAACACTAACTTGTTAACTCTTAATATCTCTCTCAGATGTTGTGACTGTCTCTCAGTCTGTTTCTCTTTATCACTTACTCTCTCTCTCTCATTCTTGCCATCTCCCTCCACCGTGTGCTCCTGTGTCTGTAGTAATTTTCTGCTTCACCTCATTGTACAAATGCTGAGCTGCTTTTCAGCTGCTTATGGCACTGTTCCATTAGCGCTTATAGGCCTAGATTAGTAGTGAAGTCTTTTTTGGCTGATGAGATGACTAGACACCTCTATTTTCTTAATTGTATCATGTGCTTTCTCGTTTAAGGTCTCGGGTTTGATGCCAAATTTGGCAAGACACCAAAGAAGACAACACACTAAGGAACCTGGAATATGTGTCATGGCAAAACTGACAAACTGAAAGTCCAGTGGACAGAAATGTTCTTATCACATCCTGCCTAGGCAGTACACCTACATAAACCTAGTCATTGTTAGTTACCATATTATATTTTTTAAAAAATTACTTAATCATGAAAGAAGCCCCTATGTTTTGTTATGTCTACTAAGACAGACAAGCATCATCTACTTAGACCGCAAGACCACATCCACATGAAGAGGAAATGGGACAGAATGAGATGGGTGGGCAGAGGAAAGATGACAACATGCACATCAAATCACTTGTGGTTGTTGAGGCTGCTCCTCTCTCTGGACTACATCTGAACCACACAGGCCTATGAATCTCAGCTCCAAGATTTACCTCATGAACTCATCACCAAGGAATGACTGGTTTTCACTGGTATTTGTTACCGTAGTAAATGAATCGGTTACAGAAAAACACCCCAATAAACGAGTCGATTGTCTTGTCAGTTAGTAGAAGTGTACCAAGTAAATATCTATTATCAGATCTCAAGTTGTTGAGACAAGCACAATATTCTGAAAGTTGACATGCAATAGATGAGGAGTTTTTACACTTCCATGTAGTTTACTCATGATGTTAGTCTTCATTTCCATTATTATCCTGGCAGACAACTAGCCTCTGTATTATGGAATGAATCAACATAAAATACTGTAAATTAACCAATTTGTTTATGATACTCATGGCCATTCTGACAGCTAAATTGTTGTTGCTCTTTTTTAAAAATAAATGTAGGATATGCTATGAACTACAAAATAAAAGGGAAACCATAATATTATGGTATCAGCCTAGCTATATGTTTAATAAATTGCTATTATTAAAAGTTTTGGCCAAACTGGATGGAAATCTGCCAACATACAATTATTTTTCAGAGAATTAAAACCAGATGAAATTAAACAGAATGATACATGATTTGGCTTGTATCTGTGTTTTGATATGACCATTAAACATGTTTTCCACAGTTCTAGGATTGTAACACCAGGCTGACAATGGCCTAGTTATTTCTCAACATTATAAATGTATCATGTATGCATGTCATGGGAGTCCATTTGTTTTACATAATACTGAAAGATTTTTGGAAGGTTTGTTCGTTGTAGTCTATCAAATTAGGTCTACTCCCCTGGTTAGAACTTTCCCACACACAGACACATAGACAGGCTGTGTAGAAACTCTTATGAGATGTTAATGACCAATTTTCTGTGAAAATACAATTTAGAGGAAACAAACATTGGTAGATGTTGGAGAGGCAATCTGATTAACAGGGTGAGCTGCAGGATGCTGGCAGAGCACACAGAAAACTAAATTGTCCAGCCCACTGTTTGGGCAAGCTATCCTGAGGTCCTGCTGATAGAGACAGATGAATGAAAACACATGTAGTGTGAGGATGCTGTTCTCTGATGTAACATCACCCTTATAATATACAAGAATTATGTCGAATAGCAGTAGTTGAACAGTACTATACTGTTTTACAGCCTCCTTAGTACATCACCAGCAGCAACTTTGTGAAGACCTTCAGACCTGTTGGTGCAGTGGCTTGGACTCGCAGGTTTGAGTCCTGGTTGGCTACCCCACAAAATGGTTGTATTGGTATCAGAAGTGGGATGATGTCGTTGTGCGCTTCCCAGGGGATAGTGTCGCATCCCACCTTGTTAAGAGCTTCAGACAGCTAGGCATAATGTCTCAGGTGTTGGATGAACAGATGAAGGGTTAGTTTGAGTCTAGCTTGGTCTACCCCTGAAGACGCTGGAGTATCATTACTGAAAGTACTGTAGGTGTGTGAAACAGTCAAGTGAAAGTAATCTGACATCCCTCTACAAATATTCTCCCATGAATGCTTCTGTTGTATGACTGGTGGGATTTATCTTCAAACCTACCTAGGCCCTGTTTAAATACTTTGAAAAAGCATCCTTCCTGATTCCCTTCCTTGAAGTAGGCTAATCAATGATTGAATATAATCAGATATAATTGGACTGGTCAAAGCTTTATTAGGTTGTGGTACTTTATTTACTGCCAGATGACAAACATATTATGTGGTGGTATTAACTAAACCATGTCTGCCTACTGGTTGAAAAATAAAACAAGACTCTGCAATGGAAAAAAAATATGTATTTATTTCGACAGATGTACAGTGGGGAGAACAAGTATTTGATACACTGCCGATTTTGCAGGTTTTCCTACTTACAAAGCATTTAGAGGTCTGTAATTTTTATCATAGGTACACTTCAACTGTAAGAGACAGAATCTAAAACAAAAATCCAGAAAATCACATTGTATGATTTTTAAGTAATTAATTTGCATTTTATTGCATGACATAAGTATTTGATACATCAGAAAAGCAGAACTTAATATTTGGTTTGTTTGCAATTACAGAGATCATACGTTTCCTGTAGGTCTTGACCAGGTTTGCACACACTGCAGCAGGGATTTTGGCCCACTCCTCCATACAGACCTTCTCCAGATCCTTCAGGTTTTGGGGCTGTCGCTGGGCAATACGGACTTTCAGCTCCCTCCAAAGATTTTCTATTGGGTTCAGGTCTGGAGACTGGCTAGGCCACTCCAGGACCTTGAGATGCTTCTTATGGAGCCACTCCTTAGTTGCCCTGGCTGTGTGTTTCAGGTCGTTGTCATGCTGGAAGACCCAGCCACGACCCATCTTCAATGCTCTTACTGAGGGAAGGAGGTTGTTGGCCAAGATCTCGCGATACATGGCCCCATCCATCCTCCCCTCAATACGGTGCAGTCATCCTGTCCCCTTTGCAGAAAAGCATCCCCAAAGAATGATGTTTCCACCTCCATGCTTCACGGTTGGGATGGTGTTCTTGGGGTTGTACTCATCCTTCTTCTTCCTCCAAACACGGCGAGTGGAGTTTAGACCAAAAAGCTCTATTTTTGTCTCATCAGACCACATGACCTTCTCCCATTCCTCCTCTGGATCATCCAGATGGTCATTGGCAAACTTCAGACGGGCCTGGACATGCGCTGGCTTGAGCAGAGGGACCTTGCGTGCACTGCAGGATTTTAATCCATGACGGCGTGGTGTGTTACTAATGGTTTTCTTTGAGACTGTGGTCCCAGCTCTCTTCAGGTCATTGACCAGGTCCTGCCGTGTAGTTCTGGGCTGATCCCTCACCGTCCTCATGATCATTGATGCCCCACGAGGTGAGATCTTGCATGGAGCCCCAGACCGAGGGTGATTGTACTCCTGAGTGGCGCAGTGGTCTAAGGCACTGCATCGCAGTGGTCTAAGGCACTGCATCGCAGTGCTAACTGTGCCACTAGAGATCCTGGTTCGAATCCAGGCTCTGTCGCAGCCGGCCGCGACCGGGAGACTCATGGGCGGCGCACAATTGGCCCAGCGTCGTCCAGGGTAGGGGAGGGAATGGCCGGCAGGGATGTAGCTCAGTTGATAGAGCATGGCGTTTGCAATGCCAGGGTTGTGGGTTCGATTCCCACGGGGGGCCAGTATAAAAAAATATGTATTCACTAACTGTAAGTCGCTCTGGATAAGAGCGTCTGCTAAATGACTAAAATGTAAATGTAAAAAATGATTGACCGTCATCTTGAACTTCTTCCATTTTCTAATAATTGTGCCAACAGTTGTTGCCTTCTCACCAAGCTGCTTGCCTATTGTCCTGTAGCCCATCCCAGCCTTGTGCAGGTCTACAATTTTATCCCTGATGTCCTTACACAGCTCTCTGGTCTTGGCCATTGTGGAGAGGTTGGAGTCTGTTTGATTGAGTGTGTGGACAGGTGTCTTTTATAGAGGTAACGACTTCAAACAGGTGCAGTTAATACAGGTAATGAGTGGAGAACAGGAGGGCTTCTTAAAGAAAAACTAACAGGTCTGTGAGAGCCGGAATTCTTACTGGTTGGTAGGTGATCAAATACTTATGTCATGCAATAAAATGCAAATTAATTACTTAAAAATCATACAATATGATTTTCTAGATTTTTGTTTTAGATTCCGTCTCTCACAGTTGAAGTGTACCTATGATACAAATTACAATCCTCTACCTGCTTTGTAAGTAGGAAAACCTGCAAAATCGGCAGTGTATCAAATACTTGTTCTCCCTACTGTATCTACATTTTTGGCCATGAAGTCACAAGTTATATCAGATAGGATATTATCATTCAGGCAGTGCAGCAAGGAGTCCACTGTGTTTTTATTTTTCCTTGTTTCCTCATGTCCCTAACTCCTTGATTCCTCACCTACTCATCAACACACATTGGAGGAAAAGGTCAGTGGTTCTGCCCCCCGGAACTTGTCCTCCAATGAATGTTGAGAAGGATGCGAGGAATGGAGACTTTGATCAAGGGAGGAGGAGAGTGAGTCCCTTGAGAGGGCAAAAACGAGATGTATGTTAGGAGAAGTGCAATATTATCACATGGAGACATATTTTTGGAATACGGAGGAAGAATGGAGGGAAAGAGAGAGGTGGCGGTTGAAGAGAGTGAGGGTGGCAGAGGGTGAGATTGAATCTGTTGAAGATGGTGAAAAAAAGGGAGATGGTAGGTCAAAGAAGGCTGGTGGCAAGTGCAAACAGAGTGAGCCGTACACCAGATCCAGTTCTGAAGGTGAAATGGAAGTGAATGAGGGCGAATTACCAGAGGTGGCAGGTTTGGTGAGGTTCTTGGAGCCTGAGCCTTGTACCGATGGTCAGGATAAATATGAGTCTGTTACGGTAGGAGTGACATTTTTGGAGAAAGTAGACCCCTGCCTTTTGGCTGATCCATATGTGGTTTCAGGGTGGGTGAAAACGGAGTTGGGTGCTGTGGAGTTGGTGAAGGTAACCCGAAGTGGGCTTGTGATAATTATTTGTATTTCTGTCAGTCAACGGGAGTGGGTGCTCCGCGCCACACGAATGGGGACAAGAGCGGTGACTTGTTTTTCTCTCAAGAACAGGGCGCCATTGAAAGGAGTGATTACTGGGGTAGTGGTAAATGTGAAGGTGGACCAGATGAAGGGGAAGATTCCCGGTGATTGTGATGCTCGTCATTTTGTGCGACGCAGACAGGGTGGCGTGAGTGGTGAAACAGAAGAGTCATTGTCTGTTCTTTTGTGTTTTGATGTTGAGTCTTTGCCCGACAAAGTGATGTTAGGATATTTCAGTTATCCTGTACGAGCTTTTGTGCCGAATCCATTAGGTTGTTACAGGTGTCAAGCTTATGGGCCTGTGGCAGCAGTGTGTAGGAGGTAGGTTCCTCGGTGTGAGAAGTGTGCTGAAGGGCATGAGACAAAGCAATGTGTAGTATTGGGGAAAGAAGCGCTATGTGTTAATTGTAGGGGTGCCCATGGTGCTGGGGATCAGAAGTGTCCATTGCGAGAGAGGCAGATTGAGGTTACCAGGGTTACAGTAGTGCAGAGGGTGTCATATGCTGAGGCAGTGAAGAAAGTAGATGAAGATGGGTCAAGGGGGAAGGATCCTGAGAGGATCCGTGTGAGTAGTAGATCTGTGCCAGCACAGAGGGATCGGCCTATGAGTGACATATGCTTCAGTAAGATTGGCTTCTTAGCGTTTATAGCAATGGTTATCAACTACACCGCAGGGATGGAACGTAATTCGCAGAAAATAGAGGTTGTGGTGGCAGCTGCAGAGAAGTATTTGGGTGTACGAGATTTTACTTCAGAAGTGTTACAGGCAGTGGCGGCTCCTGAAAAAATTCTCAGGAGGGGCAATTTTTCTGATGATTTAGGTGACCTACACACATTTTAAAAAAGATATGTCCAGCAACAACATGAAGACAGGGGCAGCATATAAGTCAATACCAGAAGCATTTATTGACTGATCTGGGGAGATGGATTCCAGTTTCTGTGACAGATTATAAATAATCTCTGATGCCTTTGTTATATTAGCTTTTGGTTGAATGTACTGTCGTAGTAAATATATAATGTTATAGCTTAGTCTGACTAAAATCTTGTGCATGACCCATTTTGTGTTGGGCGTTTGTTTTCAATCAATGCTGTTCCTATCCTATAACAATGGACAAAAGAGTCCTATCTTGTCAGCCTTGTCAGCAGGTGGCCAAGGACAACACCCATGCCATAGGTCTCTCAGTTCTTCCAACTCACGAGTTCTTGCTCTGAGGACACACACACACACACACACACACACACACACACATCATCACTGATAACACACACACACACACACATCATCACTGTTAAACACACACACACACACACACAAAAATCCCCTCTCTTTAGGCTGAACATTTGAAGACAGAGAACCCGACTCAGAGCCAATGCAACAGTGGAGGGGACCTCGCCCAACTCATCAGGACCAATCAGAAGATCAGAACTACTAGATTCAACC